AAAAAAAAAAAAAAAAAAAAAAAAAAAAAAAAAACAATGAGAACAATTGTTGACCTAACATTTCCATTTGTTGATAACATCATTTTTAAGAGGCAGAAGCGTAGGTGTGTGGAGTATGCTTAGCGTGAAAATAATTTGAGGGCGTCCTTATTGACAAATCACATACAGTTAGCCTATTTGGTTCACTGAGGAGGATGAAAGAAGAGAAAAAACAAGAGGGCAAAAAACTGATGAACGAAACAGGAAGGAAAGCCTGGCGCAAAACATTGCCCGATGGACGAGGCTTCTTGTTTCTGCATTGTTAGTTGCCCATCGATTGAGTATCAATAGGTTTTTGTTTGTTAAGCTTTTTTTTTTCATCTTTTTTTTTTGCTTTCGATCATTTGCTTCTAAGTCATCGTATTCTATCACGCAACCACTTTTTTTTCTCCTTTTTTGTTTTTGTGCTTGTGTTTGTTTTTTAAGCAACTTGAAACCTCCGACGAACAGTTACGTTGTGTACCATCAGTAACCGCAACTTCCCGTCCTTGCACCTTTCCCTCGAAATTTCGACCTCCCAGCTGTCGGTTTAACACCCCGTCACCCGCCTCCTTATTTCTCATCTCCTGTTATTCCAATTTACACTTGTCCTACATATACCCTCTCTGGTAAAACTGACATTTTTGACTAGCATTTACAAGAAAAAAAAAACAATGCCCTTATATTCTTCTCATTTTCTTATCTTCGCAAGAAAAAAATAAAATGAAAAATGATGCAAGTACTTTTTAATGGAGTTAAAATTAGATGGTGTTTTTTTTCCATTGTTTGCTGCCACAGAAGGACAAACAGGAATATCTAAAGCAAAAAAACCGTTTTAAACAAATTATAAGTAAATAATTGTACATTTATTCCCGATAAAACTGTACCCAAACGATCTTATCTATCCTGTCAATAAAACCACGTGGATTTATCACTCAGCTTACCTGCTGAAGTTTTTTATAATTTTTTATGATTCACTTAGTCATAAAACAAGAACTATTGCAAACGATATGACTATCTCAAACAGTTTTTCTTGTTTTCATCATTTTTTAACATTTCGCTTATATCAAGAGAATACAATCGAGGTTATCGCAGTTATCCTACCGCTTTATTTTTCTAACGTTATTCAGCGAGATGGTTAAAGGTGAAACTTTTGCCCAGGAAATGAACCGCACCGCTGAAAGTTGCTTGAAAGCTCGTGGGGCTACAAACCCAACATTTAAGTCAGTAGAACATTCATGTTTGGATGTAATTGCAAAACTGGAAAGCCTATCTGTAAAAGAAGCTGATAAGGTCAAGGATGGCAAAGAAAAGCCGAAGAAAAAGCATCTGTTTGTTGACAATGTATCGCCAGTGGATTTTTTGAATTATCAAAATGCAAAATCTAGCTTTTTGGCAAGAAAAATGAAAACTGCAGCAAAGTTACATCGTGTTGGACCTGAACTTTTTGCCGAACTACTACAGCATTCTACGAAGAAAGTGAGTGCTTGTTAAATTGAGATAAATTTTGAAAAAAAACGAAAATGTAGAAATTTTATAAGCACTTATTGCAATTTCTGTTTTAGAAGGAGGAAAATGAAGAAGAAAAGACTCGGGAAGGGACAGAGAAACAAAAAGAGGAAAGCAGTAAAAAACCAGAAATTATTCCACGTGGCCCAAGCAGAATTGAACGTACACCAATTGTACATCATCCATATGGTGGTTCGAAAGGCCAAAACTATGGAACAGCTCCAAAAAAGAATGATAACAAATACAGCCGCCAAACAGGTTATGAAAACAACTACGTTTGGACTGACAGTCCAGAAACAGCAGGATATAATTCAAATAACTCTTCTCCAGAAACTTATCAAACAGATATGGGTTACTTTTCTTCCAGCCCCCAACAACAACCGTCACCTTTTCCGCAGTGTCCACTAAACGAACTTGATCAGTATCTTGAAGCAGAAAGTTCAGACTCTAAAGAAACGCATGAAGAGATTCCTAAAATAGTCTCCGACTTTATACTAACCTATTCCCTTCCATATTCAGCTTCTACGTCAACAGAGAGTAACACCGCTGCTGACCAGGAGCGCCATTCACGGAATAGTAGCTCGTCTGATACTTCGGCCAAAATACGTCGCCATTCAGCGGATAGCGGCTGTGATTCCCCTATGAGCGCCGGAAGCGCTCCGCACTGTTCGCCGAACGCACCGCGAGGTTCCGTGTCAAGTCAGCTCTGTGGTACCGATAACGAAAACCGTTCAGATGTTCATGACGGATCACTTAAATCATTACGCAAGAAGGCAAAGGAAAGGTTTCGAGATATATTAACGGAGAAAGAGTACGATGAAGGACAACTTTGGGCTATTCGTGTGTATACAGTGAGCTTTTTTTCATTGTTTTTTTCCTTCCTTTGTCATTTTGATAAACGGCCAACTTTTTTTTTTTACTTTGAGAGTTTTTTAGTTGCCACTAATTGGTCTGAAGAACTGTAGTAACAAAATAATTTTGATGATAACTTAGATTTTTCTGCTCCACTTCGCTGTTTTTTCTATTGAAGCTTGTTCAGATTATCTTTCCTAAGAATTTTTTCTATAGATTATGATTGTGAAATGTACATATTCAGTTTTCGGCTTTTTGGGATGTTGATGGAGGTGGTAAAAATATATCAGTTGTAAAATTTTAAACCCCAACGATCTGCGCAGATTTATAATGGAGTCCATTTTCATTAGGAATTGAGTAATCGGAATCATTGTCTGGACCAAAAGCAATATGATGGTGATACGTTGTTACATATTGTTACCAGCAATCGTGATTACGGCAAGATTTATGCACTGTCGGAACTGTTGTTGAAAAATGATATGGTATGTTCGGCAAATCCAATTGATGTACGAAATGATCAAAACGAAACACCGTTGTTCAAAGCTGTCGAATATCGATGTCGACCGGAGGCCATCGAGTATTTCTTAGCGCTTGGAGCTGATCCAAATGTGCAACCAATGCAGAGCGGAAAACCAATTAAGGATCCTCCATTGCACTACGCAGCATCGCACAGTATGCCGGAAATTGTTGAGGTAAAATGTATAAATGAGTTTCTTTACCCAGTTTATACTGTACAGTCAACTGTAAATGAACTCGTTGTGACGGTTTTCAGCAACCAAGAAAAATTTATTATTTTTTTGATTTTGTTAGGTACTGTGTAAAAGGGCTGACATCAATATGGTTAATGGCTATGGATATACGCCACTTTTATGCGCTGCATTAAAACATAATCATCTAATCTGTAAAGAAACGGGTCTTCGTTGGGACAACAGCAAAACTATCAAAATTTTACTGGCACATGGTGCGAATCCACGAATTTATGTATGTCATTGTTTTATTTATATTAATAAACAGAAATAATTACCATTCTTATTTTTATGTTTTTCTTACTAGTTGAATTTAGTTGAATTGTGTGCAAAGTCACATTAGTTTATGGTTTAGGATCGCAAAAACCAGCGTTCTATTTTAAGTGAAGCGTATGAGAAAATGGAACCTGAACTTAGTGAGGTACGGTGACCAAATTTTAGCCTTCTGTTTTAACTCTATATAATAGTGCGTTTTCGAACCTTTTTACTGGTAAGTTATGATAATAGTTATAGCAGAAAAAAATTTTTTTGTACAATTTTATAGATCTTAAAGGCTCATCTTGATGAAAGAGTATATTATGATATGACAAACCAGGAACTGACAAACAATCAGCGTCCGCGTCTCGAGAATCAAGATGTTGCATACCAGAATCAGCGTTACTGTTATCCAGATTATGTGGAGCAACCGTACATGTACAACTAAGCCTTCTGCTGTCTTGTATTCTAGTCGCTGTTTTTAATTATTAAAGACTATTTTATGTTTTGTGATTACGCGGTAGCTCAACTGAAGTGTTCCATCGTTTTATCAAAACTTGTCGTTTCGTCATATGACAATTTGTAGTTGAACAGACGAGCAGTATTAAATTTTGAAGCTTTTTACAACTTATTTTTCTCAGGATGCGAGAAGGAAAGAAATTAACATTTAATGAGATAATTTCAAAAGTTTTTCAGACAAAACAGAAATGATGGACAATTGTTGAGAAGTGTGATCATGTGCTAAAAAACAGCAATGTTAAAATGTTTGATGGTTGTAGGAATATGATGAGAAAATTTTAAATTTTGTACATTGAAAATTTTAAAACTTGATGTATTTTTACAGAAAACAGTTGGGCTAATGACAAAAAATTGTTATAGAATTTGGTATAATGTTGGAAATACAAGTAAAAAATAGTGTCGTTGCCTAGTTTTAATCTTTAAAAGACTATCCAACCTAATTTGTAAAGTAAAGTCTTTCAACCGCGAGGTACATATAAAAAAGGCAGGAAACTGTTGAAGGAATAGAACAAACAGCCTTTCTATCAAGCGATTTTGGTTCGACTTTGGTATCCTCTCGCATAGGGAAATGTTATAAATCTACTATAGCTTTTTTTCACTTCTTATCTGTGTGACGACCTAAAATAAGCAGTTTAAAATTTAGTTAATGGACATTGTTTTTTGCTGATTGCAGTCATGTTTATTTTATATGATTCATTTTATCTATCTTAAGTTTATTTCAGAGTGTTTAAGAGACTTTAAGCAAAACTGTACTTTGAATAAACTCGTTTTGCTTTAACTTATTGAAGCCTTTGGTAATTTAGATTTTTAGAGAATTTTAAGTTTTTCGAAATGGTCCTCAGTATTTGCAGATGGTGTCGTTAAAGTCAATAATGGTACGAGAGCCCAGTATACATAGAAGACACTGATACCAGAGGGTTTAAATTAAGCGATATTGTTGTGCATCAATTTTTGCAAACAGAAGCCTCAAAAGCTTGAAGTGAAATTTCAAAAATGCTAATACGACTTAAAAAAATTTGATAAGTTTTATATCGTGAAGAAAACCTGGTATAGCATGGAAATTATCTTTAGATTTGGAAGAGCTACGCTTCATGCTTTAATTTACCATTAGTTTATTTTACTTTTAGAGTGTTTTTAGGAATTAAATTTGTTCTGCTTCAATTTTATAAAGTTCTGACAAATTTTGGAGAAGCTGATGAGTACAGTGTTTCATAATATTGAGTCATAGCTTTATTTCTGTGGAACTTTTAAGATTTTGATTGATTAAAGGCAGATTAAAAGAAACAAATAGTTTTCGAAAAAAACGATTGTATGAAGTAGTTCCTGTTTTGATCAAAGATGGTGACAGAAGTATTTTGTTTTGAAGAAGGCATTATTAAAACTTAATTAAAAAAAAAAAAAACAAAAAGAACGGTACAAAAAAAGTGGTCAGTTTAAGTGAGCGGCAATGATTCAGAAGATTCTCTTTCTGAACATTATCCTAGAAGATTGGTGTAACAGGATGGCTACATGGATGGTTGTAATAGCACAGATAAATACTGATTTTTTTAGAAGCTTATATACAAATAAAGAGGTGTCATTTTTTTTTTTTTGTTGTTGGAAAAATTATTGGACATTGCCTCTTCACTTTGTTTCATTTTGTTTTGAAAATGAAAAATTGACCAAAACTGTTTGGAAAAATAGGAAAACTGTAAAATGAACTATTTTATCGACTACAAAAGTTGTGCAAATTTTTATGAAAAATTAATTTTTTTTTTTTGATATTTTTGAGTACAAAATTTTTTGTGGTTGAACACTTTGGTTGGGTTGCTTACCGTTAAAATAGTTGTTGAAACTTATCGTTGCTGACATCGGATCAGATCCACTGAACTGTTATTGTTGCTGTTGTTGTTTCTCAGTGTTTTTTTTTTTTGATGATCAGTGATAATGACGATGTGATTGATAATGCATTGTTGCTTAGTTTGATAAACCAATTTTTTTCTTTTTTTTTGTCATGTTTTAACGAGTACTTAACGAGGTAATTGAAAACAAAGAAGGCAATACCGATACAAAATTGGCATTTTATAGTCACTGTTATTATCGTCATCATCATATTTTCTCCTTTTTTTTTTTCTGTTTTTTCAATAATTAATAATTGAGGAAACAAAAATTGACACTTATTTGTTGTCAGATTTACATCTGTATGCTATCTGATAGACTGTTGCATTGCTATAATTTGTTTTAATTTAGAAAACCCCCCTTTTCACCCCCAACCCCCCCCCCCCAAAAA